ACTGAAGGATGTGTAGATTGTATAGGAATTCTTTTTGGCGGCAAAGGAAAGGTTTATGTGTTTTAATAAAGGTGGCTTCCAAAATATAGAGATGAAAGGTTGACAGACCATTTGCAATAATTTTAAACATGTTGTCCATGTAGTTTAAAGGGCAGGCATGTTCAGTGGTAGATTTTGATCCCACAACCCACAGATTGTAAGTTTAGAGCTCTAACCACCATGCCTGCTTTCTATTACTGATATTTCAGTCACCTGTGTTTTAATATTTGTTGTGTAAAGACAAACATTTGAGAAAACTTTGAAATGGGTTGTTTTATTTGTAAAAAAATAGTGTCTGTAAAAAAATGTCTAAGATGTCAAGAGGTGTCTTAGTACTTTAAATGCTGTAAAAAACTTTAGGAGCTCATGGTTTAATATGTGTACTTTTAGATTTTTGAATAAATGGGAACTGCAGTGTTTGAGACAAATTTAAGGATGTCTTCCTATTTTTTAAGACAATTTTTTATGATGTTTCTTTATTTTTTTTTAGAGCTCTATGGACAAAGTACGTGATAATTTAATCAAGGTAAAACATTTTCAAGACCAAATGAGAGCTACTGAGGCACGAGATCGGAATGTTCAAGAACACAACTTTTCGCAGGTGAACACCTTTTCAATCATCATCATTTCTGTCATGCTGATTGTTGGCGCTGTGCAAGTGCTGATGGTTCGAAGTTTGTTTGAGGAGAAAAGTAAACTGCACAAGATATTCAAAATTCTTTCATGACAAAAAAAAAAGAATTACTTCTGTTCTGAGTAACCAGAAAAATGAACTGAGAAAAGTTAGTTGAAAACAATCTGACAAAACCCATGACTTAAGCCAATTGGATCTAGTCGTATCCCTTGCAGTCTAGTGCCTTTTATTGATGTGTACTCCAAACAGTTGTAGTGTACCCTTATTTGTTGCTGCTTGCCAGTATCCACAAATATAGTTCCAAAGAATATTCTTTTATACAAACATTGCTAATAGAATTTCCATCATTAATTACAGGTGTATTTGTTTTTTATAATTCATGTATTGGCATTATTTTACTTTGTATATGACAAATAGCTACATGCACTTATTATGTTTGGTATTTTGAATGTTCCAAAGCATCTACTCTACATTACTGTTAAATTTATTTTTGTGACATAATTCAACATTTGTTCAAATATATATATATATATATCATGCATATGATCAAATGATAAAAAAAGCAATAACCAATTATACTATGATTATATGTATCAATTTTATGTAAACTAGCTTATGATTCAGCTAATAAATGTCCAGAAACCAAAGAATTTTATGTAATATAAGATTTTACCCAATTTGAATATCCAGGGTTTTTAAGGTGTTTACAAACAATGGAAGTTGCACTCAATGTCAATAAGAAAGTTGATTTACTAGTTAAACTGAAAATCGTATAAGTATACATGGTTCCCACGAGTCAGGGAAAAGTTGGTGAATTTTATATTTTGCATTCCTGGCCCAGGAATTATCGGGGAATTTCACTGATTCATTGATGCTTGTAAGGTATGGAAGACGAGTAATGTGGTGTCAAAAATTGCATACAGGTTAATCCTGTCACATTTAGCATGTCATTGTGCAAATTTTATGCATAAACATTGTTTTGCCTAAATTAATTTTTTTATTTACTGTTAAGTGTCATGGAGTATGAAAGCAGCTGTAATAGATTACATAAACAGTAGCAAGCTTCACACATAAATAGTGTGTAAGGGCTTTGGACAAAGCTTCATTTCATCTTCCTAAAAACTAGGTCATGGAGGATTGCTTTACAACAAAATAAAAGCCTTAACAAATTACTGTTCATAGTTAGGTTGTTTCCATTAAATAAATTATTTTGAATGTACAAATCTTAGTGCATTAATAAAACAGTCTCCAGTAGTCATGGAAGGAACATGTAATACCGAGGATATGTTACATTATTGAAATTTGAGTAGGAAAGATATAAAAATGAAACTTAGTTTATTTTGATGAAGCCTCCAAGTTACAAAGATAGAACTAATCTACAGTTTTGATGAGTTATTATTTGTATTTGATGTCTGTGCTTATATATATGTAATTAATTGTCAAAAATAATTATAACAAATAGTAAATTATCAGTAATTTTGTTTTAACTCATTATAAATATACATCACTAAGCATTGCCTGTTGTACACGACATCATGATGCATAATACAGCTTAGGCAGGGGGTGTTGACCTGCGATATCTCCAAGAGACAATTAGAATATTGCCAGATGCAGTTAAGGAAAACCTGTATAAAGCAAAATATGGATGGCAATGTATAATATCAATAAATTGAAGGTAATGACAAGTTTTGGAAAAAAAATCTAATGAAAATAAGATTGAAATATAGAATGTTTCATTAACAGTAACTAATGATATGGCACACGGAAGGATTTCCAAGAATACAGCACTATTTGTTATCCATGTATCTTTGTAGAAACAGTTGAAATTGCATCAATGAATATATAATTTAATGAATACATCATACTTACCTAGTAATTATAATTTATTGAGTAAATCATGTTTATCCAGTAATTTATAATTTAAGTTACTGGATATTTGAGTATTATGTTAGGAAAATTTACTGTTTGTCAAGCAACAAACAAGATGTTAGGGACAGGAAACAATAAAGATGAGCATACATAGCTTGAGTGAATTGGATTAATAGTTTTAGTATTGTTTCAAAACTATGGACTTTCAGACTATGGTATGCTCCTGAGATCAAGATAATTATTAAGGAAATCGTGTGGTGTTAGTGTGATAGAAGATGGGTGATGTGTTGGTGTTTGTCATTGTGTCGAGTCCAAGAGCCATACCAGAATGAAAATATATTGAGTAATTCCAGTAAAAGTTTTACTTAGCAGCAGTTTCTACTTAATGTAATAAGCAACATTATGTAAGGCCAAAATGAAAAACTTGACACATGAGCAGTTTAATACTTTAATGCAATACCATTGTCTTTGACAGATAAGTTTGCATACAGCAACATTCGTGTCTGCGACAGTTAACCATAGCCTCTCTACAAATATGATCGTACATTACGATGACATAGAAATATAATGCAACTATAACTGACATGGATGTTTTATCAATAGTTCTGATTCCTACATAAAGTTTCCTGTATGTATAATTAGAATTTACAACTTAGTTTTTTGTAAATATAATCTGACGAATATAGATGAACTTGATACTCACAGATTTACAGCACGTGCAAAAATAATACAGTGTGCTCTGGATCAGTGAATGATTTTATTAACGTGTGCAGTTGTTTTATAAATATTGAAGATATGAAATTACTGCAGTGTATGTTTAACAACTGAACGTTTTGGGCATGTAAGCACATCAGAAAATATTGCTACAAGAAATATTTGACATATGAAAAGTATACTTGTTAAAGTATATTCCATTTTACAACAGTTAACATGTTCCTTCCTTGTATTAAAAGGTGAAATGTAACAAGTACAAATATTAAATTCTTATGCTACAGTTGCATTTTTGTGACTTAAAATTTAAAAATATGATTAGTAAGCATAATCATGAACAAATGGATAAACTGCCTTTGTTGTGTTTGACTAATCAAACTGAAGCTTTGCTGACATTTAAGCAGACTGTGGCTATTGATACACAACCTGTTCGACTTTATTCGATAATAAATTAATGTTTTTCAATTTCACGCATTATTATAGGTAGTAGTTCAATAACACATTATTATAGGTAGTAGTTCAATAACACATTAAAAGTGTATATCAATTGGTTAGAGAATAACATACTATGGTCAGGAAAAAGTCAGGGAATTTTGTTCTGTCCAAGGTGTGGGAACCATGAATAATTAAAGAAAACATTTTTCATTAACATTTTTGTTAAAAAAAAGAGGATTCAAAACTTAGCAATTCGTGTGGCATCCTTATGCTTAAAGTTGGTCTTGTAATATAATGTATGACAGGTAGAATGTATTATAGTGAAGTTATTCAGTTACTGAATATAAAATATTAGTTGAATTATATTTTCTGTTTATAGAGATAGTTTACTGTGTCACAAGTGTGTACTTCAGAAAGAACAAGTTGTTTGTATCTACATGTAGTTCCTTATAACTACCCGTCATGGTAGGAAATTTTCTATTTGATTTTAAAGCTACTAAAGGAATTGTTTCAACTATTGCTTGTGTGTATAGTAAACTTTATTTGTGGTATAGGAGTACCAGCTGGCTCATCTGGATAGACCATTTTCAGTGATATGCAAATGTACTTGGAACTTACATTGTAAACAAAAGACAGTAATTTTATTTTGACATTTCTGATAATTATCACACAAACACACAGTTTCTTCAACACCCATCTACCAAAAATATAGGATTAGTGTAAATCAGATCAAAAAATTATTACTATATTCACCATCAATATAACATAATTTCCAGATATGGTTGAATTTTTTAAACTACTGCAAAAGAAACTATAGCCATTTAATCTTGTAACCCTGTGAGTAATGTTATAATGTGATTTGTTATATTGGCAGAAAATATGTCTGAAATTCAATTGGTTCCAATTCTACTGGTACTCTTTTGTTGAAAATTAAAATTTAACATATGGTTCTGGAATTAGTCATTTCTTAAGCATGAAGAATTGTAATAAAATGTTTTTATGAATCGAAATGATCAACTTTAACCCACCCCGAGATGTCATGTGGAAGCCAATGTTCAATTTAAAGATACCTTGGAATAAGCTAATGAGAATGTGACACATTACCCTTCTTGGGTGGGATGTCAGTCCATCACATGTTAACCCACAGCTATCAACTAATACCCGTTATACAGCTGGATGAACCAAAGCAAAGGGTCTTGCTCAAGGACACATTGATAAGACATGGGCAAGCCCTGAACCTGTAACCTTTATGAGTCCAAAGCACCAACCACTAGGCCATTCTGTCCTTTTTATGAACCAGTAAACAAGAAATATGTAATTCTATCAACTTAAAGGAATAATTTGAATAGATATAATCTATTAATATACATTATTGCAACATTTAGTAAGTATAACGTGAAAATTTCTTACTCATTATAAAAAATTATTGTGGGTCCATTGTTATATAAATTGCATGGAGTAAAAACCCTATGAAAGTTTTCAGTGTTTCAAAAACATGATAAATTATGCCAAGTCTTTTGAAATTTTAATTTATTATGAAACTGAAATTAGCATTTTTATCTATACAAAGATATATGGAATTGACAAACTGTATAAATGTACTTTATATCAAAATTTACCAACTTTCTTATGGAATGGCTAAGACATAACATTCCTTTAGAATTCATACTTCCTGTGTTAAAAATTAAATATGACTGAGATAGTTATTCTTCTGGCACAAATATTTAAGTAGAAACCATGTCCAAATTTACTTAATTTCTTACAACTTCTTTAGTCATTTATGCTCAAAGAGTTTGCCAATTTTTAAAATCATAACTTAACAATAATTTCAGGTATATATTATTACAAGATTTATTTGAAATAAATCCATATTTCTTTAATTTATGCCCCCCCCAGTGGCACAGCGGTATGTCTGCGGACTTACGATGCTAGAATCTGGGTTTCGATACCTGTGGTCGGCGGAGCACAGATACCCCATTGTGTAGCTTTGTGCTTAATTACAAACAAAAACCTTTAATGTATTTTAATGATAAATTTAAAATACTGATTCATCATGAAACAAAAACGAGAAAGCCTATAGGAATAAAAACAATGTATGGAATGATGGACCAGTGCAATACATGCAAAGATTTAGACAAATACTTGCGAATCATTTAAAGAGAATAATTTTTTTAATAAAATGAAAATATTCGATTTTTTGGCTAATAACAATGCAAGAAAAGGACTTTAAGGTGAGTAAATGCTTTCTACATAAAAATTCAGACAACTACATGTAATTGTTTTAGTTAATATTTTATCAGTTTTTGAATACCAATGTTAGCCTAAACTACTGATTTTTATTATTTTTTTTGTATGACCTGTTGTTTGGAATTTTAATTATTAATGGTTAATATGCTTGGAATTGTACTTTTTAAAAATTAGGGATTAATAGGTAACTCATTAGATTATACATTTCAAAATTGGGGATTTTTGTGATGAAGTATAAATATTTAAGTTCAATATTTATGCACACGAGAAAAGGATCTCGTGGTAAGAACTCTGATGGAATACAGAAACCATCTAAATATAAAGTTCAAACTGTAGTTGATATATGGAAAAATGTTATGACAAGTCATTTTAATTTTAAAAAAATTGTATATATTAAAACTTTTTCTTTTATTCATTACTTAAGAAAAAAATCTACTGGAATTAAAGAGAAAGAAGATTGATTATTTCTAAGTATAGATTGTTTTAAATACTGTTACCATATATTGTAGGCTACAGACAATTCCTCTTAAAACCAAAACAAATAATTCCATCAGCACAAAAATAAACAAAGTTACCCTGCAGTGTAAAATTATGTGGAAATGAAAAATATACAATTGTGAAGACAAAGTGAGTTCATTAATAAAACTTCAACCTGATTTTAAGAGAATTAAAGATGTTCTGAATTTAGAGTTCTTGGTTTGTACACTTCTCAATAAGCAATGGTAAAATAACATATTATTACTATATTATCTAGGGAGGAACTCATGTCTTGCGTGTGACTCTTTTTCTTCTTCTTATTATTATAATTATGGTATTTGAATGCACAGTTTATAAAATGTAAAAACAGTGCTTTGTATTTAAAGTAATTAAAACAGTTAAGTGACCTGGCTAGACTACTCTTATATGAGGTTAGGTACGTAGTTCTGAAGGAATCTTAAGGCCATGTGGGGTATCTCAATGATTACAAGATTAAACCTATTCCACAGCACGTGATACCCACTAAACACCTCTACTGCAAAAAGTACTTTTAGCCAAATGGTTTGATCAAAAATGACAAACTGGTTGAATTATCTAGTAAGAGACACCAGATCTAGTTAAATTTTCAAAACCTGGATACATCAGGTGTCAAGTATTAAAACTCAACAGGGTAGCAGTATTGAAGAAATTTACACAAAGAACCTTAATACATAAACAATGTAGTCTTAAATGGTGATTTTACCTGTGCTCTCCTTCTCCTAATTTCATTTTTGCATAGTTCAATGAAGTTTTAAAAGCTTCCCATGCATGCACACACATTACTTTTCAATATACAGGTACTATGAAACTTAACATTATGCTTATAGTTCAGAAGTCTTCAAAGCAGCTAAATAAAGAATGTGTTGTGTCATCGAGAACTGTCACCAACTTTTAAGAAATTTATGTGATAGATTTTGCATCTGTATATGAAATCATAAAAATTCTGTTTTATCTTCTGTAAAAGATATCAGTTTGGGTGGTCACATTTACCAATTTTTTTCCCTTTTGTTTTTTACTATTATGAATCAGTCCAAGAAGTGATCTTTTAAGTAAAACATGGCTTTTTGTAGCAAAATTCATGCAAGTAAAAATCGTAATGTATGTTTTCTTAATTGAAAAACACTTGACAAGTTATATAATAATTTCCAAAGGAAATGATACATCTTTATTTACAAGTTGACAAAATAAGTATTTTAGCAGATTTTACAAGCTATGTTTGATATATCATTTATGAAATTTAAGTAAAATGTACATTCACCAAAAACGTTATTAATATTAGTTTCAGATATAATTTTCATATAATAAAATAAAGGTGTATAATTTTCTGATTTCACGTGAAAGTAAATCTTGCTTTGAAGATGGCTTTAGAAGAAACTAATTTTAATTATTGGGCTATTTTTTTAATAAGATACTGATTTTGTGATACCACATGAGAATTGTAATTTTTATTCAAATATTTCTGAGTACCTGTTCTGTGTTCATTCTTCCATATTTATTCATAACACATGTGGTATACTTTCTTGTGAGCTCCTTTTTTCTAAAAATATGTAATTCTATGCTAAAGATTTATCTACAATAATTGTTCAAAAATATTCATCTAAAGAAAATGTGATATTATTATATTTAAATTTTAACGTATTTTTGTCATTCAAATTGATAAGTGTTAAACTTCAAAAGTAACAGTAAGTAACCACAAAACTAATGTATTAACGTGTGTAGTTTGATACTAGTCAAGACTTAAAAATACGAAATTGAGGTAGATATATTTTAAAATAATAAGTTATTTAGACTTAAATACTGTTTAGAAAACGTGATATTCGAGCAATCTATTAGTATTAAGAAGTATTTCCACAAAAGTCAAGAACAGCAAGTGTGAAACGAAGGAAAATTCAAAGAATAAATTAATAGAGCAAAGAAAAGATTCAAAATACAATACTCGAACTAACGACAAACGTTTCGATTCTATGAAAACAGAAGAAAAAAGAAACATGCGTTCAGATTTTTCAACTTTTGAATCTGTGATGAGCTCTCAAGCTGGTTATCTAACATGTTAAAATATATTAAGATAGTTCTAGAAATTCATAGTTAGGCCTAACGTAAAGTAATGAACATATTTTATATGCGAATGCTTAATTACATAGAAAAAATTAACAATGTTAAAATATATTAAGATAGTTCTAGAAATTCATAGTTAGGCCTAACGAATTGAATTTATGTTTCGGGGAACTATAAAACAGATATTTAAAGTAATGAACATATTTTATATGCGAATGCTTAATTACATAGAAAAAATTAACAACGCGGACTTGAAAGTAAGTGTTTCGTATATCTTTTTATAGATTATAATTTGTTGTTTTTTTGTTTAATAATTTAATTATATAAGTAGTTGTAGTTTATCAAATTGATATTATACTAGTAGTATAAATTATCAATCTATAGTTCATATAAGTTACAGAAAAAACGATATACCCAATAAACTTTCAATGGCAGTTTTAGCTCTCAACATACAAATCAACTAAGATCTGTAAAACATCTAAAGATTACCTACATGTTACCACCCGTAGGCCTACCGCTTACTTGTTTTTGGGAAAAGATCCAGAAG